TAGTTTCCAGGGGGAACCGCGTGGAGGTCGACCTGATTAGGTATATTGCTAGAAATGGAATTCTTAGTCTCCATTACTAACAATTCCCTTCCCCCCCCCCCCAAAGCCTAACTGTGGTTACCAAATCGACTGCAAAGTTTGGCAACTACTGGCAAAACTTCCCTTATGGGGAAGAATTATATTCAGCAGTGGACAGTTCAAGGCCGATATGATGATGATATTGTGGAATATAATCTCATAATAAATATATATTTACAAAAAAAACTGTTATTAACCTAAAATTAACTTATTAAATATTTTTAAAATAACTTTAATAAGGCCTTTCAACTAGTTATATTTAAATAAATTAACTAAATCTAATCAAAATATTGAGGAAGGAAGCGCTCACATATAATAGTCATTTAAAGGACCCACGACCGAGGGACAGTACTAAGGGACCGAGTAGGGCATGACTGATGATTTCTTCGAGATGATAAGAACGAGAATGGATAGGATTTAGAGAAAGGTCTATTTATTATAGCATTGATAACATTTCCTTTTTACATACGAACAATAAAATCGAAAAGCCATTGCGTCGTAAAAAAAGAACAGTGACATTAATTTTAATAAAATTAACATAGTAACTATCGAAATAGAAGGCTACCAAATCCAAAAATAGTTAACAAAATCGGTTTAAAATTAGCTAATACATCTGTTAGTATAAAATGTGTTGTAATTTATTCTTACTAATATTATAAATGTCAAAATAAGATTTTTTTTTTTACTTCTAACACCTTAATCCTAAACCCCTAAAAATTTATGTACAATCAACAGTACAATAAATCACATTGAATGCAAAAAGAATTGTAAAATTCCGTTTCGGATTGCGACGTAATCGTGTAATATAGTTATAACAAAAGATACGTATTAAAAATTATTTTGTAAGTTAAATAAAAATATTGTCGAATGTTGAATATTGTCATTTTAGAAATACGTTCTAGGTATTCAGTATTAGAGAAATAGTCTAATAGTTCAAATTATGGGGTTATATACTTTTGAAATACACTTTGTTATAATTTAACTCCAACAATGTGGCAAGCGAGCAGAGATTTATGTAAAAATTATGAGTTTTCATATATATCACGGCAGTCGTCATGTCATTTTTCATTGGATCGTTATCCCCCTATGGCCCCAATCCCATCGTTTAATGTCACGCAATATGTTTTCTTCTGTTTCATGGGATGGTTTAGTTTTAATAGGATCATTTGTTTTAGTTCTAACAGGCTTTTTTATATGTGAATAGTTTTTGTGAGCTTTTGAGAAAAATATGATTTTGTTTCTGTTGTATATAATACCATGTAATTTAATGGCTTATCTAATGAAAATTGACAACACTGTTGAATTTAGACCTTTGACGGATTTTGTCAGTAGTAGCTTGACAGGTGTATTGGGGACCACAATAAGGCTTTGACAATATATTTAGAGGGAGGCTATTGTCCATTCCTTGTCCATTAGATTCCCATATTCACCTCTTACGATACCCATGGAAAAGGAAGGATGGAGTAGCCCATTCTATGCTGCGATCACATGGCATCATTTTATACATATCATCACCATCATATCAGCCGTTAACTGTCTTCTACTGAACATAGGCCTCCCCTATAAGGCGATGGGGGGGGGGGGATCCAATAGTTTCCATTCTTGACAGGGTTAGCAATTGCAGTTATGTTTTTGGTGAAATTTATCTTGGCTAGTTTTTATGTACAGGCTTTATTATATTTGTCTAAGTAACTTACCTTCACTAAATCACATGTAAGTTAATGTACATCCTATTTGTACTGTCTTCATACTGTTAGGTTAATTAAATACCTTCGTTGCTTTTCTTGTTTGGTTTGTTATTAATTACATCTCAAGTGAAATAAATTTATTGTGTAATGAATTGTGTATTAAAATTTAAAAATTTATAATACCTATTAAGTAGCAAATACGGTAGTCGTGCCAAATAACAAGAAATTGTTGTCAAAATTCATGTATATAATGTATGTTCTTGTAATTTATAAATCTTTAGATTTTTTACACAGAACTTGACACCCATAAAGAACTCCATTCTTTTCCCGGCGGAATCGAAACGACGCACATTCGTAATAAACTTGAACGAACGTGAACTTGGCTCTCATTTCACATTCATGTTATTGATGACATCAATTTTTCTCAAATATTTCCTATATACAGATATCGTCTAGTTACAATCTTATTATAGTAGTAAATTAACAATTAAAAAATGTGATCTTCTCTGGATAATGTCGTTGGAGTGTGTATACACCAAATCTTATATACACATTACTTCTTGGTTATGTTTTGTTTTTTAATGAATGAGTGAAAATGAAATAGTGACCCTGCTTGTACTATCGCTATATACCGACGGGGCACCAATGAGGGATGATAGGCGAGGATGAAGCAGTTTAGTTGGCTCATCGTGACGAATTCCATAAGAATTAACTACGATGAATTCTAAGAGGATCCGCGTGGAAGTCGATCTGATAGGGTATATTGTTAGCAATAGGACTTTTAGACCTCACTAATAACTGTCCTTTTCGCCTAATTACATCATGGTAAACTCCTAACTCAGAGTGGATGAATAAATAAATGAGTATGCTTTATTTGCATTATACAATATAGGGAATAAGCAAGAAGACAATATCTAATATATAAAATTCTCGTGTCACGGTGTTTGTTACCAAACTCTTCCGAAACGACTTTACCGATTTCTATGAAATTTTGTATGCATATTGGGTAGGTCTGAGAATCGGCCAACATATATTTTTCATATCCCTCAATGATAAGGGTGACCTACCCCTAAATACTCACGCTTTTACAATCAACTCTATAATCAACTCCTGTTTTTTAATCGCGATTTTTATATTCCGCAATAGGGTAGCAAGTTGGCGATCGAATATAATAATTGTAGTACGACAAATTTTCATGTATAGTTCTTGAAATAATGTATATGGTTAAACAACGTTTGCCGAGTCAGCTAGTAATATATATAATACAATAAAGATTATTTATATTTTATATTCTATTTCATTATAATTACTTGTATAGTAAAAGTAGTTTTAAGTAACAGCATTATGTAACTGACCTATCTAATTAACTAGAAACTAAACCTCAACAGAGACGCAACACTTTCAGACAGGTAATAAATAAGCAAAAACAAATTAGAGCTTAACACAAGATATAGTTGCCAATGTAATGAAACTCCAATCAGATACTCTTTGAAGACGGCCGAGACCTATCAAACACTAATAACACAACTATTATATTGGTTAATCTAGTTCACGAACCCAATGGAGTCACGTAATAAGTTATGTTAGATTCCTGAAGTTAGTGAAGTGACAAAGCTTAGTTCAGAGTCCGAGTTAGTTCATATGATTTGGTTAATTTATTTGAAGGTACTACCAGAGGGACATTTTGTGCATAATGGGTGACACATCATGTATAAAGTCTCCCCATCAAATATTATCAAAATATGCTTAGTTTTAAATCTTTTAAAATTTAAAGGTTTTGCTTTTTTTTTTTTGTAGGATACAATTTAATTTATTTGTAAGTAAATCCATTCAGAACTGACTGAAATTATGAGATCGCAAACACAAATAAAAAATTCAACCGAATTGAAAACTTCTTTTTTGTAGTTGGGTGAAAATAGTCTGCTTGCTGCTTGTCACACTTCTGTGTTTTTCGTGTTTTTGCCGTGAAGTAGTTGTGTTTGCATGGCTGTTTCGGTTTGAAGAGTGGGATATGGGAATGAAATTACAGGGTATAACACCTTAAACCTCATGAATGACAACACGTGAATGGTATCATGGGCGACAAAGTATACTCTGTTATGTCCGTGATACTTACAATTCATGTACCATTTTCCTTTAGGCGGGCCGGAAACTTGTTTGTCGTTCTAAAATGCAAAAAATAAAGTTATAAATACGACTTACCGTACTACATATATTACTATAATGCTTATATTTCTTAATTTTATTTCTTACAATATTTTTTGTACCCAATAAAGAGTAATTGTGTATTTTTATTTAATTATTTTCCTTTATTTGCATACTGACTTGTTCAACGATCAAATTCATTTATTCTAAGGTTGCCGAGAAAAGATTTATATCAGCAATAAGGCCGTCTAATTGAATTTATACAATTGTATATTTTATTTCTACTCTTTTACTGTATAATTCTAATAAAGTATAAGCGTCGATTGTTATATCCGTATTCGTACGTAAATCCCTAAATTCCCCACTCTAAACTTTGCAACTAATCTTCTAAACTCAGGAGAATTGTACACGTGTAGTTGCTTCCGATCAAAGAATAATAGCTAACGATTTCCATAATCCCTAACGGCTTTCTGGACAATTTCTTTTTAGCGTTAAGCTCTTCATTCTATTTTAGTATTATAAGAAATTATGTAAAATATATTTTTCATCCTATTTATATTAGTTTTAAAGTCTATAATGCGACTTGAACGCTTATTACTCCATTACGTTTAAACAACTGAATGTTTTTGAATTAAATTTGATGTATAAATTAACAAAGCATATTTTGATATTTACAATTCAATAATAAGGTAATGAGAAATTAAAATTAAAACATAATTATTTCGTTAAATAGTTCTTAATAAGTTTTAGTACAAGAAGGAATGGATGAAAGAAGGAATGGTAACAAAGGAGATTGTTAGATTATGTATTTTGTTTTTGTATTTTTTTTTATTTGTGCTTTGTTTATTTTTATTCTTTTGTCTCTTTTGCTGTGTATTACGTGTATGTTTTTTTTTTATTGTAATTTGTGTGCTATAAGTAATGTAAATAAATTGTCTATCTATCTATCTACAAATAAATTACTGTATCTATTGCTAGAAATTAATTAATTATTTTTTAATTAATTAATTTCTAGCAATATTGTACAGTATTTACAGATGGGCAAAGCACCGGGTTTAAACCCGGTGCTTTGGTAAAAACCCAATAAACACCCATAAAATCCCATAATCACCCAAAAAAATAGGTTTTTACGTATTTTTTTGAAAATATGTAAGTAATACCAATAAATTATTTTTATAAATTGTATTGATCAATTCTACAATATTAAATAAAACGTTAACTAATAATATTTCAGGAAATTTTAAAAATCTATATATAATAAAATGAAAGTAATTAATTTTCAGTGTTTTCATGTTGCAGTTGATCAACATGTTGGCCTTTTGCTTCCCGTAGATACTTTAAAATTTCTTCATAACACCTCGTTCGCACACATGGCCGTATATATTTAAATTCTTGAGCCACTAACAGTCCGAAATACTCATTTCTTTTATCCTCTTCTCCATAAATTAAGCATTTAGAACAGTTTGTTTCTTCTTTCAGTAAATTTTCTTTTACTTTATCCTCGTTTTTTTCTTTGTTGCGACGACGCTGGGTAAATCATCTGGACACTGGGTCTCACTATCGCCAAATATATTTGGAGATCGGCTTCGGCTACGGCTTGGCAGACATTTTTTTCTTTCTACAATTTTAAATTAAATTTATTAGAATAAATGCTTCGAACACACGCGATCTAAGTACCTTTTGTGTTTATTATACCTTACCTACCTAGGTATAAAAAGAGTACTTACGTAGATTTTCTTTTATTAACTGTTTTATACGAAGATCTTGATCTCTCAAATTAGCATCCATTTTACTTCCAGTGATTATCAACTAAATTAATAATCCACAAAGTATTAAATAACGTTTTTATGAAATATTTAGCACAAAAACAATACCCTTTAAATATCGATCGTCAGTAACTGTGGCTGACTTACCTATATTCTAGCAAGCAGGACTGCCAGATGTGAAGGGGAAATCCCCAATAAATTGTTGCATGTGACTGATGATGTGAGCATGTTCGTTTCATAATAAAAATGTTGCCAGGTAACCAAAAAGTCGTATGTTTTTGTGCGAATTACGATCATAATCTTTACGATCGTACATTAAAAAATAGACAAATAATAGTATGAGTACGATTTAAATCGTATATCTGTCAACCCTGCTAGCAAGACAGCGACAAAATCACGTTGCATAACAATGTAGCCCAAGCTTATATCTTATGAAATATACGGAAGAGATACGGACTTAGAAAAAACAGAAATGTTGTTCTTTGTGGAAGTCATTGATGAAATTCTATGTATTTTAGCCCGCAAACTTTCTTCAAACAAAAACAGCGCCATCTAGTATCGAGTTCTGTAATTATCTCTTTGTTTATGGATTTGAAGTAAGACCGCCACGCATGCAATACATTATGACTGGGGATTCCCCTATTCGTCGACGCTGAATATGAGGCGACGACAATCACTGTCAAACGTGTTCACTATTACTCTGACTCTGGTAACGTGACTTCCTGGTAACGTGTTAGGTAGGAAAAGCAGTAAAAAAGTGCATATTAAGGGAGCAGATTTGAAATAATATTTATACTTAACAAGAAATAATTAAAGGTAAGTGGATTTTTGAATGATACAATTATATCATGATCACTTAACAATTTTAACTTAAAATTAGATGTATTATTACAAGCTTTTATTTAGCTTGCGTTATGTAAATAAAAGTATGTAGGTATGTTCGTATGTTGATGCAATTATCCTCAATCCTCAACCGACTGGGATAAAATTTTCCATACACGTTTATTTTGGATGATAGTGCATAGTTAGCTGAGAGTCGTCATTGGATAATAATGGTGGATAGCCTAAGATGTGTACTAGATATTTATTTTTAACATAATATGCGTAAGTACCTAATCGAATTAAAGAAGTTGCTGAGAAAAATACAGAACAATACGATAATAAACTAGCGTCTGCGTTTAATCCTCCGAGGAGATGTAATTTTACAAAGGTTTTTTGTATTTATTTTATTATTTTTTTAATAAATTTATTGTAAATAACAAGAAATAATCATTGTAAAAAAATAGGCACTCTATTGTTGAATTTTCGTCAGACCAACTAATCATCGTTCATTTTTTTAGGTTCAATGGGGAGACCTAAAGATTTACGCATATGGGAGCACTACCGTACTTTACCAAACAAGTCTGTTTCTTGCAAGCTTTGTAATAAGGTCTACAAATTCAGTAATGCTGCCAAAATGCTTCAACATCTTATTACTTGTCCAAAATCTCCAGAAACATTAAAAGACTCTATGAAACTTATAAAAGATAGCTCGTCCAAAACCAAAATGTCTGGACTGTCAGAGATAGAGACAAATGATTCTTTTATAAGCCCCTCGTCGTCTGCTAACACTACAATAAATGCTGAGTTTCAAGACACCGATGATCATATAAAAACAGAATTAGCGAGAGCTATATTTGTAACAGGGACGCCATTATCGATGGTGCAACATCCTTTATGGATACAATTTTTCGAAAAATTGCAACCAAAATTTAAAATACCTTCACGTAAAGCTTTAGCGACAAAATACTTAGATAAAATATATAGAGAAATGCGTTTTGAGTTAAATGAGGAACTAAATGCTTGTAGTTACTTACACCTTCAGTGCGATGGCTGGTCTAATTTAAGAAATGAAGGAATAATAAACTTTCTTATATCAAAACCTCAACCTGCATACGTTAAAAGTTTGAATACAGAAAGTAATCCTCACACTAGTGAATACCTTAGCCAAGAAGTTGAAAAAGTAATGAAAGTGTATGGAGCAAATAAGTTTCTTGTACTTATTGGCGATAACGCTAGAAATATACAAAAGGCATTCGAATTAACAAAACTCAAATATCCACATGTTGTTCCTCTCGGTTGCTGTGCACATATCCTTAACTTGTTGTGCCAAGATATTGTAAAGATACAAGAAGTAACTGTGTTTATTATGCAAGCCATAAATATAATAAAAACTGTTAAAAGGAGTCAACGATTAAGTTCCTTGTTGATAAAATCAAGGCAGGGTGAAGATTCTACACAAACACTAAAATTGCCTTGTGCTACAAGATGGGGAAGTCATGTTACTTCGTTAAAAAGTTTGAAAGCAAATAAGATAGCTTTGCAAATATTAACAGTTAGAGAAGATGTGGTAATTTCAAGAGATATTAAAGATTTAATTCTAAGTGATGATTTCTGGACGAAGACAGGGGAATGTATAAGTATTTTGGAACCAGTCACTGAAAGCATATTTTACTTAGAGAGCGACCAGAATCGTTTGCATCGCACATACATTACATTTAGAGATGTACAAGCTAAGATACGTTTTGCATTAAATGAGATTTCGACATTGAGCGAAGAAAGCAAACAGCAGATTCTAACATCAGTATCTTCAAGATGCAATATGGCAATGAGGCCAATACATTTTGCAGCATATATTCTAGACCCCAGGACTCTAGGAGTCGAACTTACTCAAGAGGAAGAACTTAAGGGTATGGAGTTTATCTACAATTTAAGCCAACACTTAAGTTTGTCAAATGTAATGGCAGATTTGGCGTGTTATAAAGCTAAAGAAAACTTTTGGGCCAGAGGATTTGTATGGAGCTCATTAGATAGCATTGAGCCCCTAATATGGTGGAAAGGTATTTGTGGTTCCACTGAGTTAAGCAAAGTAGCGATTCGTATTCTATCAGCTCCCTGTACTTCGGCAGCCACTGAGCGTTCCTTTAGTATCCAAGGCTACATACATAATAACAAAAGAAATCGACTTACAACTGAAAGAACTGAAAAAATTTCATTCATTTGTTATAACTGGAATCTTAAACATAAAGCTGAATGCGAGGACATTCAGTTTAATGAAGAAAATACCTTAGAAGCTTTCATTGAGCAAGTAAATGAACATAACAGTTTAGACGAAATAGAGCCTATCGAACCTATACAATTCATCGCTTGTAATAACTCTGAATCTGACAGTGATTGACTGTAGTTTTACATTTTACTTTCATCTCTTTCTTAATAAACTCAAAATCAAATTAAAAGTTTTTTATTCTGTAGGCTGCATAATAATATTGTCTATGTCCAGTATAGTGGACGTCTTGCGGCTGAGATGACGATGATGAAGTACAAAATCATAAACACCCAAAAATTTGGGTGTTTATGGGGTTTAAACCCAATAAACCCAAAACACCCGGTTTTTACCCACCAGACTTTAAACCCACCCAGGTGGATTGCCCATCTCTAACAGTATTGTTATTATACGTACTTATGTACGTACGTTCGTACGTTATTAATATAGTTAACATTGTAGCATTATTGAAAAAAATATGTACAGAAAATTCTTGTTACAAATTCCATCGTACCAGTTCATTCGCTTACATCACTATCTGAAAACCGTAAGCCTAGGTTAGAGCCTTATCTCCTTACACGTGGTACGGTAGCTTTAAAACAAGAACAATAATTTGAACACATACATATATCAAATTGTTGACGTAAGAATTACCAACTAAGCACACAAATTATTGGGGATATTAAATAATTTATCGCATTTAGTAGTTGTAGTTCTAGACTTTAGAGAATGAGAATGCATGAGGATACTATGGATACTGATCCGATATCTGTATTTTTTTTTATACAACTTAGAATGGCAAACAAGCTGACGGCCCACCTGATGGAAAGTGGTAACCGTCGCCTATAGACATGAGCAGTACCATGGACATAACAGAGTATACTGTTTCGCCCATGATACCCCCCATGCGTTGCCATTTCTGAGGACTCAGGTCTTATTCCTCTGTACCCAGTAAATTCACGCCAAATTGTATATTGGGTTGTAAGCTGTAAACTGGACATTGATAGTGGAACAAAGGGCATCACCCATTTCGATATTGCCCATATCGGTCGGATATCTATTTATTAATTTATATATATATATTAATTATTGGACTAGTATTTAGATATTGTTATATACTACCCACACTTATAGAGAAATGAGAAAAGTTGATGTGACAAGTTGGTATAACTTGTACTTATATATATATATATATATATATATATATATATATATATATATACATATACATTCATAACACAGAGAATCTTAATGTGAAGATCAGACGATTGATGTTTTCGCATGGCAATTATTATTTAAAAAAATATATTTTTGAAAAAAAAATATTTATATTATTTTTAAATTTTTTTTTTGGAATTTAATTATAAAAATAAAAAAAATACGCCGTATTGTTAAAAAGATTTAAAATCTTCATTATTGACATGAGCGGAAAAAGCACGGAGTAAATCTTTCCGATTAAAAAACAATAACAGAACCTCCACCTTTTAAAAGTCGGTTAAAAAGTATATAGAAATGAAATCTATTTCGAACAATAACACGTATGGAGACTGCGGTTATTATGGAGCTTATATGAAATTCAAATGAGAGAACTTTAGACCTGAATGCCTTTTGGTACACCAATGATATTATTAAACGAAACGAGAAACTGGAAATGTACAATTATTTACACTATACAATTATTTATATTACAAGATTTTATTTAATTTTTTACCTGAACTACGACCTTCGACCATCGTAGTTTTTTTTTATGTAACTTAGAATAGCAAACAAGCTGACGGCCCTAAGTACAGTTAAGGCGTTTCCTCCTACGCTTAGGTCGTGAAATAAGTTCTTACCAATATTTTTTTCTAGAGACTACAAATTGAAATTTATAAGCGAAACCAAGAGTCGAGAGAAATAGGTTTTCAATTCATTTCTATTTACTTGGATGTTTATTATATTTGTTTCCGTCTCTTATAAACTATACAACGCGAAAGTTTCAAAGTTAATAGCTACCTAACTTTAATATAAAAATATAAAAGTTAGGTAGCTAGCTTTAATGTATACTTAGAACCTTATAAAGTGAACTACTCTTTTATATAATTTACTACCTACTGATGTAGGAACATTAACTTAAGTTATCTAGAAAAGAGGTCACGTTCACCTACGTCTGGTAAAATGTGTCGTAGGTTATTTTCCGTCCGGTGAAAATAGGAACAAGTCGATAATATCAATATAAAATTGGAAATGTTACGGAAAATTTCAAGTAGTCTACATCCACTGCTCGGTTGAAGTACGAGTATAAAGCTGGATTCAAACTATAGTGTCGGACACGGTTCGTTCTCAGTCTAATCTCGAAGTAGAATTACTTCGAGATTGATTATGATTGGAACTAGACTCTATAGATGAGTGTAGAGAGAATGAATACACACATTCTTTTTTTAAGGAAGAATATTTCATTACACCGAGTTTGAACCGTAGTGTTGCCAGATTTAATGTATTTTCGCGATTTTGGGTAATTTATTTGTGTTCAAGAAATTCTGAATAAATTAAATGTGGGATTTATTGACTGTAGTATGGATATTATAGATTCTAGTTGTTGAAGAGATGAAAATAAATCCCGATAGTAAACTTAGGCAACAGTTTTTTTTGCAAATAAAAAAGTAGTTATAAAAATACGTCCTTTCTGGTACGAATTTTAGCAGAAAGAGAGCGCTATAGTCATTATACAAGAAATAAATTTAAATTTGTGTTGGGTTGCCAACATAAATAAATAATAATGATATGAAACATTTGGAAGAAAAATGTAGACGTGAAAAAATTTTGGTAATTTTTTCCCTAGTTATCCTACTTGTATACCGCGACAAAATACTACTAATAATTACAATGCAATATACGAATGATGGTAACAACATGAGGTAAGAGTGACTATCGTAGAGAAAGACGATTTTTGTTTGCGCTTTGATAACATATCAATAATATGTAGTGAAAATTAAGATACACACGAAAAAAAATTACTGTTTTAGTATTTACCTTTTTTGACATTTTGTAAAAAATAAAAATTTTACCTGGCAATTCTGTCGAACTGAGACCGGCATTATAACGTGAATCCAGCTTAACTTAGCAAGCACATTTATGGCTCATATACAAATAGCAGCAATCTTTTATGTTATCCTCATAGTTGCAAACTCTGAATGGGAATTTGCATTATTTCCTTTTATATTTTACTTTTCTATTTTACTACATTCTTTGCAAAGAAAGAGGTTTATTAATAGATTGAAACATATAGATATTGAGTATACGCGCGCGTAATACCTTTGAAATTGCAGGCGTTCATAGGCTACTGTAACCGCTTACCATCAGGTGGGCCGTATGCTTGTTTGCCACCTTAGTGGTATAAAAAATATATATATATATTACCACTTTTTGGATAATGGTAGATTTTGCTATTTGTAATACAATAATTATAATTTCCCTTCTACATCTATTTATTTGCCAACTCTATGAAAGAATGACTTACAGTAAGATAGTGTTGCCACTGTACCATGTGAGTTAGCATCAGTAATTTAGCACTTCCAGTTATTAATTTAGGTCTGTGTGATTCTTATTATAATATTATTATGTCCCGACTCAAAAAGCTTTTAAATTTCCCCTGAAGCTTTTTTTGAGGTGAAACATATCTATAGTTGACGAAAAAGGATTTTCTTTACTTGATTTTAAGTTCTTAACAATATTGGACATTCGCTCATCTGCTGTACATTTAACAAGAATATTTTTCTATAACTATTGAAGCGTACATAAAGTAATTTACTCAGTAAAGCAACTTTATTCTTCAGGTTATATGCCATAAAGTGACGCCATAAAGTCTGTGTGTGATGATGTAATAACAAAGAGTCATCAAACTTCTTCTCCAAGATCTCATACGAGGCGATTAAGGAAACGGAGTATAGTACTAAAAACTCCTATGTCATACTGCGTGCTCAGCATGTCAATAGTAAGCTAATAACTTCCTATTAAGAAAATATCCCATTCTCACCAGTGGGACTTTAATAATAAAACTAAACTATATTAGTTTAGTTTTACTATTAAAACATCAATTGTTACATCATCGATTACCGAATTTAAAAATAAAAATGTTTCACTTATAAAAAGTTATAATATCAGAGAGTAACATAGGCTGTAATTTATTTAAAAAAAAAACGATCTGCCCTAGCTGCGCAAGCGCACACGATTAGGTAGAAAGATAAATTAGTATCTATTTTATAGACACATTTTTGATAATTCGGATTACGTTAGTGTAATTTTTGTAATTGTTTTTATTTTTGTTTAATATATACTTGTGTTCCTCGCTGATAATATCGGTGAAAAATCAGTTGAGTACCTTCTAAGTTTATATACATATTACAAATAAAAAGAGAAAAAAATTACCGCGCGAATTAGGGTTTGCGTGACGATATCATCAACGTGACGTTCGTCCGAGAGGAAAAGAGTTATTAGTAATGGGAATAATAGTTCTCATTGTTAGCAATATACCCTGTTAGTTCAAACTCTCTGCGTTGAGGCAGTTAGGTCTCTGTCCTAGCTCCCTTCCCTCCCTCTCTCTAGAAGCCTGTCCGACTGGACCCACTGAAACTGCGCAGAGATGTTGCATCTCTGTGCATCTTCTACCGAATTTATCATGGGGAGTGTTCTGAGGAATTGTTCGAATTGATACCTGATGCTGATATTCACCACTGTACAACCCGCCACAAACTAAAGTTTCATCCCAATCATCTGGACGAGTGGCGGTCTTCAACCGTGCGTTTTTCAAGGCACTTTCTTCCACGCACAACCATTCTTTGGAATCAACTTCCAGCAGCAGTATTTCCGAACCGATACGACAACATAACCTTCAAGAAAAGAGTATATTCCTTTTTAAAAGGCCGGCAGCACACCTGCAATACCGCTGGTGTTGTGGGTGGTCATGGGCGGTTGTAGTCACTTACCATCAGGTGAGCTGCATGCTCGTTTGCCCCCTGTGTTGTAAAAAAAAAGCCATTACCCAAACTATGGTTAATTTGTAGTAAATTTGTCATGATGCCTGCATCATCATCGTTTCATTGTCCACTAGTACTCCGCTATTGTATAAACTGGTGCACTATTCCATCTTCATTCATGAACAAGAAAACCTAGCTTCCACTTCGCCTATAATTCCTCACCCTGCAAGAGTAAACCATAAAACCAGAAGGAGTTGCTTTTTCATTTCATTCATAAATTACTAGATAAGTTCTTAAACCACAATCATAAAACAGTTTATTGCATACACAATAATGTGTGTATTCTTTCATTAAAGAAGAATGAAATATTACTCTACTAGCTTATAGTTTTTAATATCGCACGCGTTGTCCGACCACCCGCTGCAGAGTTAAATTA